AAAGGCAGGCAGCACTCCTAGGTATGATAAATTTTTGGTGGGGATATGTTTTCTTCTGTTGACAAAATTATTAGAACTCTTTTGGGACCCAGGAGTATATTAGTTTTTCCAGGTTTCAACACTTTCTCTCAAGGTTTTGGACTTCCTGTACTTGTTTTTATCCTGTTATTGTTTTTATCAACTTTTTTGAAAAAATGTGGGGATTTGGCTACCCCCCTCCAAATGATCGACATTGTTTACCACTTCTATTTTTAGAAGTTGCTGTTGTGATGTGGCATATTAGGGAAACAACAAACACGTGTAGAGCATGTGGCAATTTCTATTATTGAACTTAATTCATGAAAGGGTTTTTAGTTTGTTTTAGGTACTTTTATTAGTATTATGTGAGATATACGTTATCCCGAAGTCACATATATAATATTTTTTTAACCTAGCATAGGTTATAATAGTGCTTTTGCTATTTTTGTTTCTTCTTTTTTTATCCTGTCTTTTTTTTTTTCTTTCTTTTTTAGGGTTTTTGTGTAGTTTTTTTTGTAGTATTCGTTTTGGTATTTTCTCTTTTGGTTTTAAACTTCCCTTTTTTTCTTTGATCTTGAAGTTTTTTTCATTAAGTAGTTAGGAGTTTTCTTTCTACTCGGGAAGTTAGGAGAAGAAGATATAGAGTTTAAAAAGAGGAGGCAATCTTGATGGCCAGTGTTGTCACGTCTACTATGTCCAAGACTTTTTTTGCTCATATCCATATCCACATGTCCATAGTATCCACAACTGTCTAAAGAATATCTAGCCTTTAAAATTTAATATATCAGTTTAAAAAAAACATGATTATATATTTTTTATAGTTTTGAATATTTTTCTGAAAAGAAAAAAATAGGTTATCTTAATAAAATTTTGAGTAATTTAAATTTGTAATTTTGTTCACAAATGTCCAGAAATGTCTACAAATTGTCCAAAGCTGTCCTGTGATAACACTGTTGATAGCCATAAATACCACTTAGTGATATATTGAACTTCTTCATTTGTAGGAGGTTTTAGTATAGAGAGAAAATTTTACTATAGCAGATTGCACATGGATAATTTGGACTTTTGTCATATAAGACTCTTGTCGCAAAGAGCTAGATGGGTCAATACTTGTAATTTAGGAGTAACATGTTTAGCCCAGTGTTAAAGTTAGCTCACTCATGAAATAGATATGAAATAGATACAGTATGTGAGATTTATACCTAATAAAGTATTGGCAAGATTGCTGAAGTTTTTTTTTTAAAAAAAAAGATACTGTATGAATAGTAGGAGTAGAAGTAAGTATTAGAATATCTAGGATATCTGTATATAAATTGTATTCTTGTAAGTAAAATTGATTATTAGATTGAGTAATTATTTTTTTAATTGTAATTTCATTTGTGAAGATATTAATAACCAATTGTTTTTCTGAAATAGTATATTGGAATTTGCAGGTAGGTTAAGTGTATTGTAAAAAAATTAATTGTAGCAATTTGGGTTTGTGGCCACTGTTCTAAAATTGGTTTGTTGTTAATAGTTGAATAAAGTGTTTTGTACCAAGATGGTATAGGTTCTTGGGAGGTTTTGTTAGTTCAAAGATATATATTATTCCAGGGAAGTAAATATTGATTGTTAGCTGTTAAAAGTTGTTCAAAAAATAGAATTTGATTATTTTTAAAACTTTTAAAAGTTGCAGTTTTTTGAATTTCTAATGAAAGAAAGTTATATATATAATTAAGTTTGTGTTGTGAAATAAGTTGGGTGTTGTTGTTAATTTCAAGATTGTTAATATTAATGTTATTTTTAAGAAGTAGTATAGTTGAGATATATATATAAATTTAAAGAGTTTTTTTTAATGAAGATGTATACTATCATATGTTATTGAATAGCTCCAAGTATAGTAAAGCCATTCTTTAATTCTTAATTCAAAAATTTTTTGCAGAAGAGATGCTGAATTAATTGATTTTTCAATTATACTGCTACTTGTATATAAAAGAAGTTTATCAAGTATAGAAAGATTAAGAGATAATAAGTTGGTAAGTATATCATTATTAGTATTAATTGATAGTCTAAGTGATTTTTTAAATTGCTTGGTAAGCATGCTTGAAAGTTTTTTGGTTTGTTTTAAGTGAGTGAAGTGATTTGTAATAAATATTCTAAAGATGGGAAGAGGATTATATTAAATAGATAAAAAAGTTGTATAGAAAGTAATTTTTTATATTGAATAAGTTTAATAAATATTTCTATCTTACTAAATATTTTTTCAATAGTAGGTTTATTAGACTCTGTTCTATCATAAAATATACCCAAATATTTTATAATTTCTTCAGGTTTTCTTAGTATAATAGTTGTGTTATCAAATAAAACAAAGTTTGTAGTAGTTTGTTGGTTGAATACTGAATTGTTATTAGATATTCAGGAATTTGTTTTGGGTTTGATGTAAAGTAGATCTGATTTAGTTGGGTTAACTTGAATATTATTAATTTTGTAAAGTTTTAATACATCATCAAGTAGATTTTGTAGTAAGTCTTTGCTTTTACAAAGCCAAACTGTATCATCTATCTAGGCTAATAGAGGAATTGTGATAGATGGTATTTGTGTTTAAAATATTTGGTCAAGTGGAGATATACTTTTAATTTTGAGAAAAGATTCTTGATATTTGGTATTTATATAGGAAAGAATTGGATTATAGTATATTTTTCACAAAAGTGAAGAGTATGTTTCTCTTTGCTCTATTCTTATATTAAGTATGATAAAATCTGTAAAGCCATATGTTGTGATAATTTTTGCTTTGAAATTGGTATATAAATTAGTAATAAAGTTTATAGCATTTTGTGGAATGCCTATTCTTCTACATGTATTACCTAATCAAGAAATATTTATTCTGTCAAAAGCTTTTAACATATCTTAAAATAGAATTCATGCTTTTTTGTTATTAAGTTTGTAGTATTCAATAGTATTGTGTAGGATTTGTATTGGTGTATGTGTTAAGGTTTTAGAAGTTGCAGCAAAGTTTAGATTGCTGGTAAGATTGTTTGCATTAATAGTATTGTCAAGTCTTTTTGTAAAGATTTTGGTAAGATATTTTTTAAGAGGTTCAATAAGTGAATGGGTTGGACTTGCTCTAGTGTAAAATCTTATTTGTTCTTTTTTGGTATTAAAAAGATATTAGAGGTTTTCCAGTCAGTTGGGACTGTTTGGAGATATAGACATTTGGAGAGAAAAGAATAAAAAATGTCTTGACTAAGTAGTAAGATGTGTTTAATATGTTTATAGCTAATACCAAAGGGTTCTGAAGCTTTTTGATTAGGTAATTGATTAATTGTTGTTTGTCATTCATTTTGTGTGATTTCTGTAAGAATGTTATTATAGAGATATTCAAGCTCAGGGTGTGGCTAGTATAAGGTATAAAATTCTGAGTCAGGAGTTATATCTGGAAGAATTTACTATTTAATAAAATTTCTATAGTAAATTTCATATAATTTTTGTACTATATAGTAAAATGGTATTAAATTTTAAAAATTTATATTTCAACAACTACTAATCCTATTAAGCTAAAATTTTAACTGTATATTCGGCATATACATAGCAAATACATTTAACTATTATAAATTTTTAAAGTTGTATATTAGTGATAAAAATTATTTTTTTCTAAAATGAATACCGTATATTACCGAATAGAAGCTACCAAAAAATTTTCGATTTTCTTCGATTTTCTTAGGCTAAACTGCAGGGGTAGCTTCTATTCGGGTCTAATTTTACTATTAAAACATAGTAACCGTTTTCAGATTTTTGGATCCAAAATCGAGGGGTAGCTTCTATTCGGTAATATACGGTACTTTTTTTAAAAAAAAATTGATTTTTTTAAAAAAATTATTATTCAGTAAAATATTTACAAAAGAATAATAAAAAATATATTAAAAGATAGCTTAAAAACTACTTTATTTGGCATAAAAAAATTATAATTAAATAGTTTAAATAAAAAACTTTTATATATAGAAAGTGTAAATTTTTGGTTGTCGTGTATCTACATTTTTGCACCGGACCATATCCAAGTTCATGAATATTTACTACATATTTAATTTTGTGTATGTGAGTATAAAGAATATACTGCATACTGTATTTATATTAAACTTAGTATTTAATCAAGATTACGTTCATGAATATTTACATACCGCTTAATTCATTTTATTCGCAGTAATTTAGTGAAAACATAAGTTTTCAAAATAGATTATTCAAGTCTTGAATTGGTTTATTTTATTCGCGATAATTTAGTGCATGAGTATAAAAAACAATATATTAACCTAAATATACAAAATAAATTATTTCAATTTTGTTTACTATTCATAATTTGTTTTAGATCGTGAATATAATGAATATTAAGCTATCAAAGTTCATAATATTTACTATTGATACGCATAAATTTAGTGCATAGTACGATAATTTGAGCACTTAAATCAAGATATCATATTTGCATTAAGAACATTTATTAATCTAAGTACGTATTCAGATTCACAAATATTTATTATAGCAGTAACAACATGAACATACGGATGATGCGTATTAATATACACTGACTCAACTTGACTCAGCTTAATAATTAATTTCTTATCAAAGTCCCTATTTACGGAGTCCAGACTGAAAAGATTGGACTATTAACGGCCCTAATTTTACCCCGTGTTCAACGGCACGGCTTCTTGCTTTATATTATGATTCGAATTCACTCTATACCCAAATCAGAACGGCTGGTTCGGTATAAGGAAAGATTTACTGTTTTTATTTAGTTCAGAAAAAAAATACATAATCTTATTGCTTATTAATTAGCTAGAGCTTAGATCCTTTATCTGTTAGATACTGAATTAAACCGGATAGTTCTGACATAACCATGATTTTAAGTTCATAAAAAGTTATCATAATAAAAGTTATTATATGTATATATATTTATAATTTATGTTTATATCGATTTTGATGACCATATAAATTTATATAATATAAACGCGTACCTATAACCTTTGTCCATAAAATCTATAGACATTAAAGTAAGATCTATTTAGGGTACATTCGTTCATACAAGTTATGGTTACGGCATCGATGTCAGATTTAGAGCCAGCAAACTTTGCCAGCACGTCGAAAGTCTCTTTACTATATCTTGCACATGGATCCTTCAGAGAATTTTTCCAAACGCCAAGTTGAAACGGTCTTGAAATATGCTCAATTCTATGAAGTTCTTGCCTGGAATTCATGAATTCTTCAATTCGATAAACGATAAAAGGGTTTATGTGTTTGGATTCTAAAAATTTTATCACTTATGGGTTTATAATTCGTGAAACTTAGAAAAAAAAAATTTTAAAAATACGGAAAGAAATTTATTAAATAATAAAACCCACTTACTTTTACTTGTTACTCTGAGCGTTTCTGGTCCACAGTTTTGAACACTTAATTCAGAATCTGAAATCTACTACCAAACACATACGCAATTAGATAAATTTTGCTATTTATTAAAGCATAAATAAATAAATGATGACATTACTTCAATCCATCCACCATTATTTAGCACCCTAATACATTCTGGAATTACTAAATTCACCCATTCTGACTCTGTGAAATCATAAAGAAGATTTCGGATATTCACAAAATCAAAATGCTTATCTGGTAAAGGCAATCCTTCCAAAATATTTGCCTTAACAATTGAAACTTTTGAGGGCTTTATTTGTGGAAGCATCTTATCGACAATTTCCGTTCCAACAAATTCACATTGAGGAAAATCTGAAGACATTTCGCAAATCCAAGCACCCTGTCCGCATCTTTAGAAATATTAATACTGATGCCTAAAATGCTCATAATTTAAAATGGATATTGGCAAATTTTTAATTTAATTTACCCAATATCAAGAACTTTGGCGCCACCTGATTTAATAAATCATATACGGGTGATGAAAAGTTTCCTTTAAAAATAACACGAACAATATCATGTCGTAAAGTTGTTCGCTCTTTTTCTAGATCAATATTGTTGACTTTGAAAATCTTGGCACTGTTTGGTCCATGTTTATGGATTTTTGAAATTATTAATCCCATTGAGGGCTTGGGTTTTTAAAGAGAGTGTAATAATTATTGGGATCAATAATGATTGATCTTTTGAACTCATCATCTGCAATTTTTATACTATTTATAATATTTATACTATGTTCTCGTACCCATCACTTAAAATAATAATAACAACAGAAATTTTGATTTTTTTTTATGAATGAGTACGACCTCAAATACGAATTATGTAAGTGAACAAATAAATAGCGATCATGAGCTAAACGTCTTCTGCTTCCTTTTAATCATTAGATATACTGTCATGTAGCGCTTTACCGGTCCGGTCTATCAGGCGTAACGTAGTTCAAAAAAAAAAAAAGCAATGAAAAGCAGCTAAAAAATACCCTGATCACTATATCATGATCACAGGGTATTTGGTAAAAATACCCTGATTCGTTTCCACTAATATCCAACTATATACACTTATTACATATAGCCTAGTTTCGTTCTGCATTGCATAACCTTTTTTTTAGAAGGTCAATGTTGGTACAAAATTACAGTATTATCGTAAAGGGAAAATATCGGCGGTTATTGCCGGGAATTACATAATTGTGGAAATTGTAGAATCAATGCCATAAAAAGATAAAATACTATAAATAGAGTATTCGTTTGGTTAGAAAGATTTTCGTCAGAATATTCATATGTTCGAGTTTTTTAATCTGAGTCGCTGCTGAAGAATTGCAGCATTAGGCAATATTTTTATAGTATTAAAAACGTTACTTCCTTATCATTTTGGATGTGTATACGTACGGACGGATGGACGGTCATTCATAATATTATCTATTAGGGTTCTGCAAGAGTCAGGCACGGACACTATGTCTTAGTAATGTCAGACATGTGTCCAGGCACTATTTTTAATAGTCCTTACTATCTATCTATATGTAAACGTGTTACTGAAAAGCATAAATTCTTCAAGGGCTAAATTCGCTATGGTGAACTTAAGTTTTCACTTGCAGGTCTTCATCCTGCAACTATTATATAAAATAAAATTTAGTGCGATAATTATATAAGATTAAAAGTCCAACGCCACAAAAATCTGCTACGTAATCGCTTTTTAATTTCAGTCTGCGCACAAGAATAATAGAATCACGAGATCACAAGATTTTTGAAGGGATAATTGAAGTGTTTTTTTATATTTATTCAACTTATTAGAATTTATTTATAGCGCTTTGCAAAAAGATGTGACCCCATGATTTTTTGTGATGATTATCGAGGGAAATTTCTTTGTCTATTATTAAATAATTCATATTTTCTATTAGTTATATTTATATTTATTTGAGGTCACATCCTTTTGCAAATCGCAATAATTATCGCTACAAGTTCTAAGTCAAGTTACATTCAATTCAAATGTATAAAATGCATTTACATCCAAATTCAAATTTTATTTAATACACGTATAAAGTTCAAATTTGAACTTTTTATGCTACTAGTAAAAAGTATTTTGTTACGTCCACTCCAAGTTTTTGGAAGCTTTTTTACTCATTCAAAATCTTTAATGACGTTTACCATTTTTTGAATAGGTTTAAAGTTCGATTCAATACTTCGAAGCCATATTAATTTTAATATAAAAATTCTTACCGTAAATGTATACGTCATACCTGACAGATAAACTTGTTATCTGGCATGATACAGTCAACTCCCTCTAAGTGCAATGCGACGGGACCATATGTAAAAATTTTGCAAAATGTGCACTTAGAGAGATATTGCATTTAGAGGAGTAAAAATCTATAGGTGTAATAGTAGTTGGGACCAAGAGAAGGCTTGCATTTAGAGAGATCTTTCATAGAACTTGCACTTAGAGGAGTTGCACTTAGAGGGAGTTGACTGTATACGGATCATAGATCATGGACATCGACAATATAATTGCTATTATCCTGCCAATACCCATGTATCCGTCAAATCATGTCAGATAACAAGAAGATATCCATCTACTATTGATATTCGGATAATTATCAAAGTATATTTTTTTAAACTTGAATAACTTTTAGTATATTTATTTTGAATGAAATAACTACCAAACCATTCATCTCGAAAAGACGAATGTTTTGGTAGTTGTTTCATTTAAAATAAATTAGTATATTAAAAGTTAGTATATTAAAAGCTATTCAAGTTTAAAAAAAAAAAAGTCAAATTACATCACAGGTCGAAATAAGGCAAATCGGGTTCAAATCGGCATCACAAGACCTGACATGAACCCGATTTGAAACAGATATTTGGTGCGAATAAGATACCTATAGAAATTCGGATTCACATCAGCGTTCAAGACATATCGGCAAAACGATAGGTAAATCGATATAGTTATAAGATAAGCTCTATCGATTTACCTATTGAGCTATCATTTTGCCGATATGTCTTGAACGCTGATGTGAATCCGAATTTCTATAGGTATCTTATTCGCACCAAATATCTGTTTCAAATCGGGTTCATGTCAGGATCTTGTGATGCCGATTTGAACCCGATTTGCCTTATTTCACCTGTGCATGTATTTTAAGTAAAATTCTAAAAATCAGTCGAAATGCCGGACATCTGAGCGATTTGAATTATCCAGATAATTAGGTACGGATAGGGATATTACCCGGGTCGAAAAATAGCGACCCGGGTTGAACCCGGGTTGAACCTTTCTGACCCGGATTACAACCCGGGTAACTTTTTGGATTTAATTTCAGAAAAATTTTTCCAACTTGTTCGTGATTTAAGTTCTTTCACTTACCACATCGGAAAACCCGGGAAAACTAAGTAGGTGACCCGGGTCGAACCAATTTTTGACCAGCCAAGACTCTGATTAAGGTGTTCAGGATTATGCGAAAGCATAATATGCGCATAATTTACCCGTAAAAAAAGGATAAAATCACATAGGTGGATTGTGATTGGTGGATAAGTGTATCGAAAGATGG